GGAATTCCAGTTCTATTCAGTTCATTCAGTGATTGCTTATATAATCAGAATTTGATAACAATTATTGATAACACTTATGAAACAACTAAATACATTCTTGTACAAGTTTATTCTTCACTTTCTCATGAAAACTACACTTCTCTGATATACTGTGATCAGAGATATTAAACTGTCTGATAATTTCATGTTTTATAATCATGAGTTTCTTGATTGTTTCTTCTTGTAATTGTCTCTGATGATAGTGATAAATATCTCAACTTGAGTTGAACTTTCACTTCATTCTCACCTCTGTTAATGAAATTGTCAGAATATCATGTGTTATCAGTACAACAGTTAAATATGTACTCTCAACAATTTTTCATAACTCTAGAATTGATTTAGCATGTAAATTTATCAGATCATCTTGAAGATAGCAGTCAAATTCAGTTTTACAAGCATGTAGTTTTGCCTGATTTTCAGTTGCAATCAATGTATGTAAGTTCTGTTTCAAAGTTAGTATTATAGTTCTATATAATATGAAGTGTTATCAAAGATTGTTACTTACTAGAGAATTGTATTTCACTGTCTTCACATCTTAAATATCTGCTTATTTAAATCTCTGATAGTTGGCATTGTAGTAGTCTTGAACTAATTTGACATATGAGTCTTATTCCTTCTCTGTTCAATCTTCAGAAGTGTAGATATTAACTCAACAGAAGAGATCTAGTAGAGCTGCTACAGTATAGTACTCTGTAAAAGATTGTTTCATTTTACTGTAGTAATATGCCAGTTTATCTCTTACAGTAACAATAGTCTGCACTATAGCATCATCTCAGACTGAATTTCTTTTTGAGTGATTCAACTGCTTCTTAAGATAAGTAAATAAACTGTTATACACTTATCAGGCTGACTGTAGCATTGATGTACAAGTGATTGAAACTGTCTTTGTTATCTTATAAAACTGAAACAGTAAATTAATCACATATTTCAACTGAGTTCACTTCATATCAGAAAGTTTTAATATCTGAATCTTTTCTCAATCAGAGTGTTGTACTCAATGATTAATTATCTGACACAATTGAAGAGTCTGAACAGTTATCTTATATATTGAACTTCACTGTATTCTAACATTCTGTATCATATTCAGTGATGTGACTGATTTGTTTGTTTATTAAATATCATGAAATCATTGTTATTGTTTAGAAGAGATACAAATTGCATTAACAATGTTTCAAATCTATGATATTTAAATTATTAGTCAATCTATTCAAAATTAACAGTAGCATTATCAAAAAGTGTTATCAAAAAGCAATATCAAAAAGTGTTGTCAAAAAACATTATCTTTTGTAAAGTGAATATAAAAGTTACTTGAGTAATTACTTTCATCTCATTCTCATCTCAAGAATCAGTCATCTCATTATTCTTCATCTCAATGTTAAGATTCTTTATCAGTGTTTGTATCACAAGTTGAATCACATGAGCAATGCAGAGAATATGACCTTGTTTATCATTTCAGAAATGCAAAGTCAATTTTTGCTTCAAGCTCTTCATCATAGTGTAGTTATTCACAGCATTGTCAGTTGTAATTATAAGAAGACTGGGACTAATATTTCAATAGTCATTTTTAATCATAGTCATTAATACCTCTGTCATATAATTCTCAGTATGACTACTGATCAATGATTCAAATTCAATTAATGTCTCTTAATAAGTTCAGTTCTCATCAATGTAATAACATGTAACTCTTATAAATATAAGATTGTTTGTACTAGTTCATGCATTCACTGTAAGAGACACTCTTTGATGATTCTTCAACTCTGATTCTAGATGTTGTATATTGACTTTGTAGTGTGTCTCAAGGTTGAACTGAAGACAGAATCAATGTGAAATATGAAGATTTGAATTAAGTATTTGAAGAAGTGTTCAGAATTCAGGGTTTTCAATTAATTGAAGAGAAAGATTCAGAGATATACACATGCAAAGTAATTATTCACAGAAGTTATCAGATAAGAGTTGTGAAATCAGAGTACTGATACAGAGTCATTTTCACATGATTTTCTTCAAATTAGAAAGTTAGCATTATCAAAAATTGTTATCTGATAGAGTAACTTATCAGCTCAGTAGTAATTTTCTGATTATTTTCCTTTTATTATCTGCATTCTGATGACTTCAGATATTGAGAAATTTCTTCAGAGTCATGATCAGTTTATGATGAATGTTTCTGAATGAAGTTACAGTAATTGTAGTAAAAAGATGACTCTTCAGTAATCTACAATACAACCTGTTGATAATTATTCTATAGTTCATCTCAATATTTGTGTTGAGTTTTTTATAAATTTCATGACCTGAAATCAGATGTGAAGAATGAAGTAATTATTCATCATGATTGAAAGAGAGTATTCTGTATTGAATTGTAAACAATGTAGACTTTGTGATTTACAGTGATTTCTTAAAGAGTTTGTGAATCTTCAATAGAAGTAAAAGAAGTGAAAGAAGTAGATTCAGAAGACATGATAATAATTTGAGAAAGATGATAATTTATTTTCAATAACTGATCACTGATGTGTGTAAGAAGAATTAATATAAGAGAAAATAATCTTGTTTCTTAGCTTAGTTATAATTTTAGTACTAACTCAGATTGAATATCATTGATGTATAAAAGTAAATAAACAATCTTGATTAATCTCTATCATATTTCTTGAAATATATTAATATTGTGAAAAAGAGCATTATCAAATTATGTTATCAGATGATATCATTAAAAATATATTAATATTATAAATATCAATATTGAAAAAATGTTGATACTTATATATTATAGTGATTTGTGAATCATGATAGTTAAATATATATATATATATATATCATTCCTGACTTGATTACAACTTGTACAATAATTTTTGAAAACTCAAAATCAATTTTAATTATTAATAATTAAAAACTTAAACTTACAACTAAGTAATATAAAAAGAAAAAAATCTACTTCTTCTCTTTCTCATTCTTCTTATCATTCTTCATAATTCACTTCTCATTCTTCTTCTTCTTCTTCTTCTTCTTCTTCTTCTTCTTCTCATCTGAGATGATAATCATCTCAAAATCTCTCTCTGCTGCCTTCTCAGGAAAGAGTTCTCACTGCTTCTCTTCAGTCAGATCAACCTGCACTTCAAAATCCCACATTTCCTGGTCTGCTGTCTCAGGTTTCACCTCAGCAGTAAGCAGATTGACATGCTCAGAGAGCAGAACTGTCTTCTCAATATTCTGAATCATGAAGTGTATTCAAGACCAGAACAAGGCCTCAATTCTCTTCTTCTCTGTCAGCTTCTGCTAATCAATTAGAGAATAGAAGCATTATCAAAAATCATTACCTCTCAATAAAAAACTTATCAGTTTTGACTTCTTTGTCTCTCACTTCAATATCTTCTCAATCTTCTTCTATCACTACTTATTTACAGTAACACTCTTCTTCTTTCTCTCTCTCTTCATCTTGATTTTAAATTATTCTCAGAACTTCTCCTGATCTCATCACTACTGTATAAGACTCTTCACTGTCTTCTTTTTCAATCTCTCATAAGTGACACCATTCACATTATTTCTATACTTAGTTCAGTCTAAATCTATCAGAAGTGTTACTTAAAATCATTATCATTCTACTCTCTTACAGAGCCTCTTCAAGGCATCATAACATGTCTTATAATCTGTCTTCTCATACTTAAACATCTTCTTCTTCTCTCTCTTCAATCTGTGACAGCGCTCACGCGTCTTAATAATCCACAGAACTGCAGAATATTTGAAGAGAAATGACATGATTAGTTTTAATAAGTGTTGAGAGAGAGTGAAGACAGGCAATGATATAATGATAATGATGATGATGATGATGATGATGATGATAGTGATAATAATAATAATAATGATGATGATGATGATGATAATGATGATGATAATGATCATAATAATAATGATGATGATGATGATGATGATGATGAAAGAAGAAGTGCATTGAAATATATTATTAACTTATCAAATATAAAGAGATAAAGAAACTATTAACAGCTTTCAGAGATGTACAGAAATAGCTACAGTATTGCATAGCAATATTATCTTCATTCAATGCATGCACTATTGATATTCTTTGTATGCATTTATCATATAATCTATATCAGGGATACATGCAGAAAACAGATCTTTGTTGCTAGAGAGAATGATTGCAGCAATTCTCTGTTTTCATATTATTGTGATTCAAAGGTTGCTTAAGCCAGCGTATGATTACAGGCGTACGCCGGCTTCTTATATTGTAATCTTGTACACTAAATTAATTAGCATACGCTATGGCTCCTTTACACTTGTACATGTATGCTAGTAGTTCAGAAGCGGCCATGTGATTATTCAATGATTGTATGTTCTTTCAAATCACATTCTTTCTCATTAGATTCAGTCATGCTCATGTGACCATGTCATACACCCTAGCTTCATGCAGATTAGCTTGCTACTAGTGTTTCATGATTATGTAACCTATCTCTGATTTGACTAGTATTCTGTGTACACTCTCACAAAGAAACTTCTACTATATTATATCACTCATTCACTAACTTTTCTCATTCTTCAATCATCTTCTTCATTATTATTATTATTGAATGTTATCATCTCATTCAAGATTTCTATCTCTTCTTCTATTCAACTCTTTCAATCTGTTCATCTATTACCTTGTACATGTTTCTGACAATGACTCTCTGTTTCTATAACAAGTGCCATTGTAGTGCCTATACTGAGCAGTTCATTAGCAGTAAGTGTAATGTGTTGTAAAATGTGGTCAGAACTTGTTTATCTTCTAATGATTGTCAGAATGACATATTATTATGAATGATGACACATCTTCTCTACCTTCTTGTACATCTCTGACTGTTTCTCTTCTCAGCGGGTTTCTGATTGTGTTTTCTGGCATGATTTTGCATGGATGCAGATGCTGATATGTTTGTTTTTATTTGTATAGAATTATCATGTGTTGACAGATCTGTATCTGCTGATGATAGTGAACTCAGTGTTGAATCATTGATTGAGAACTTGAAGAATGTGATAATAAAGGAATTGTCTGTGTCATGTGTGACTGAGTCTTCAGTGTTCTTTCCTGTCTCTTCTGTCACTTCTTTCTCTGCTGCTCTTTCTCAATCTTCTACACTTGTCTCTGTGTCTGATTCTCCTGCTCCCGCTATCCCTGTTCCCGCGACCTCTACTTCTGCTACTTCTGGTTTTACTGTCTCTGCCTTTCTTACTAGCTCTCCCTGTTTCAAGGAGATGTTGTGTAGGCTCAGTGAATCATGTTTCTCAGTGTGTACACTTCTGTCTTTCTTATCAATCTCTAGAATGATTTATTGTATGAAGGCAGTGTATAATATGACTATCTGAAGTTCAGTTATGAATGCTGATTATTACATTTGTTTTAAATATTTATGATGAGATAATCATCTATTCATTTCAGAGAATCATTTCTCTCTTCAATAATGTTGAGATTGTAAGTCTTTTTCTTTTTTCATCTTTTTCTTTCTAATGCTGATTTTTCTGTTCTTAGAGAAAATTGTTATGAATTTTACTGTGTACAAAGTCATGATATTCACAGACATTAAGAAACTTTTTATGATTGTAAAGTTCAATATTACAGAGACATCTGCTCTGATGAATTTCTTCAGAATGATAGATCTGTATTGACCTATTCTCTGATGTCTGTTGTCTGACTTCATAATGCAGGCAAAAGATATCTGTGTTTTCAGAAACAGAAATGCAAATGTCATACTCTTTTACATCTGCAGGTGTGAGGCTTGTATGCCTTGTCTGAGATGTTGTCATGAGAATGAGCTGTTCACATGCTGTGTTCTGCTTTCTGCATTTCCCTGTATCCCTCTCTCTCTTTCTGAGAAGCCTTGTGTGTGTTGTAATTGTGTGTACAATTCTAAGGCCAGTGAGTGTTCATTCAGTAATTGTTATCTCTGTTTTTGTGATTTTATATGCTAATAATAGTTCTTAGTTACTCTGATGTCAGAGGTCATTTTAATTGAAGATGATAACACTGCTGAGACTATCTTCTCTCACTCTCAAGCTTCTCTCATCACTTCTTCTTTCTTCTCTGCAGAGAAGGTTGTGTGCATACTGAGTTGTAAGTGTTCAGCCTCAGATGACTCTTGTCATTCATTCAGTTCTGCATCTCTCTCTTCTGTTTCTTCTGTCTTTATCTTCTCTGTCCTGGCTTCTGATCTTGTGGGTCCCGTGCTCTCCTTCAATTTCTCTATGTATATATGTATGCATTTCTATATTAGCATTCCAGTCAATCTTGTGATAAATGACATTAATGTTGTATGCAGAGCAGTAGAGGAATTGAAGACATGCACAGTGTTATTGTGAGAGTGACTTATAACTCTTGAATCTCTTGCAGATCTTGAGTTTTGAGATTTTCTTTGTTTTTGATGTTTTTCAAGTAATATGGCATTGGAAATAGATTAAATATATGATGTATAAAAATGAATGAAGTGTGTATGATAACATTTATCTTTTACAGCTGACTCTTACAGTTGATAATCAATTCATTATCTCTTTTCTTACACTTTTTCTCTATCTGCTAATCACTACTCTTACATGATCTCTATATGATACAGTGTTCAGTGACTAGGTTCAGCAGCTTTCAACTTTTTATGATTCTGTCTTGTGTATTATACTGTCTCTCTTTGCCTGCTCAGATTACTACAGTGAACAGCTCATTGAAACTAATCTCATCTGATCTCTGAGTGTCTTCAGAGATTGAGATGACTTGGTCTCATGTGTCTGTGAATGTTTCAGATAGTTTGTCCTCTGTGATCTTCATGATTGAACTAGTGTAAACAGTTAAATTCAACTCTGAATTCCTTTTTCTTCTGTGATCTGATCCACATGCAAGTCTGCTGCTTTGAGACTGCTCTTTATCATATTATGCCTGCTGTCTGCAGTGTATTATTGTATGACTGACTACAGTCTCATCACTTATTGAAGTGTGATGTTTATCTGATTTCTTCATTTCTTTCTATTCTTTTCTTGTAATTGTGAAAAGATTGGAATAAGTGAGATCATCTGATTTGTAAGTGTCTATGATTTCTCTTACTTCATGAGGCTTTTCAATTATAAGTCTCTTCTTTTTCAATGCTGATGATAGTGCTGTAGATGATTATAATTCACTCAGATCTTACATCTTTACTTTCATAAGTTATGAATTATTGATTAAGTTGTATAAGACTCATCTCTCTGATTCTTTCAATGTGTATGTTCTCAGAGAATGTGATTTGAGTATCTTATATGATTCAAACCACCTAGATTGAAACTTCTCAGAACTCTCATTGTGTATGAGAACTCATGTTCTTATCTTGAGACTTAATTTCTTAACAAGTGAGTCTTGTATTCTTTTTGATTGAATTGCTCAGTTCAGGAGTAACTTGTTAGCTTTTGTGTGTGTGTGACTGATCTCTTTCAATCTTGATTCTATGTTCACAACTGTTGCATCTGCAACTGCTGTTTCTGCTGCATCTGCAACTGTTGTTTCTGCTGCATCTGCAACTGCTTTCTTCCTCACCTTTTCTGAAGCATTCTCCGGGATGTGTGGATGCAATTCATACAACAGGTAGAATGATGAATACTTGAAGACTGCATGCTGTCAAATTCATGTGATCAACAGCACCTGCCTGAGATATTCATTTCATAGTCTTGTAGGCTTGCTCACTAGATATTTTGTCAGCATGTTGCTCAAGATTTCATTCAAGTGTTTCATCTTTCCATTCATCTGTGAATGATATGGCATTGTTCTATAATGTCTTGTCTGTAACTGACCCATGAAATGTCTCACTGCTTCTCTCACAAGGTTTGCACTGTTATCAGTTAGAATCTCACACAGCATTTCATAGTTGACATAGATCTCATTATATAGAAACTTCACTATCACCTTCTCTGTTATCTCTGAAACTGCTTTCATGACTGACCAGTCAGTAGTGTAATCAATAGCAGTGATTATTCATCAATTTTCATTTGACATTCGCAGCAATATGTCTATGAGGTTCACCTCTCATTATTTGAATAATTGTATTGTACATTTCATCTGATATTGCACTTCCTTGCATTTCAACCCTTTCTTAGATCCTTTCGCGACCTGGCAATTCGGGCACTTGTGAGTGTATGCCTGAATGTCCTCAGCCATGCTTGATCAGTATGCTCTTAATTTGAGTACACTCATAAGTTCAGAGCTTTCTAAGTGGCTGAATTCCTTGTGTATATGAGCCACTAAGTTGTGTCTAAATGAAGATTCTAGATAGAGAGCTTCTGCATATTCTAGATTGTGATAAAGCACAATGTCATTTTTCAATTTCTTCAGCTTGAAGTTCAGAAGCATCTCTTCTACTATTTTTATAAGATACTTGTCATCTGACATCTTATCATTCTTCAAGTGAGAGATTATGATATTCACTCATTCTGATTTCTTGCATTCTCTCAGTGTGTTTAATGTGAACATTTCTTGTGTCTGATTCACAGAACTCTCACTCATGAAATCAGGTCTGCAACTGATTGTGTTCAGTATCACTGCATTTGATTTCTTTCAGTATTTGATATGAAGATTGTACACTTGAAACTCTGAGATTCAACATGCTAAATATTTGAAAGATTTTATTATTAATTATAGATAGATGAGGCTTTTGTGATTCATGATCACTGTTGTTGTATGTCTGTTATTGATATATCTATCTCATAATATCAGTGTGTGCTTGATTGCTAGCAATTCCTTTTCATGCACTGAGTAATTG